TTTTTTTTTTTTTTTTTTTTTTTTTTTTTTTTTTTTTTTTTTTTTTTAAAAAAAAAAAAAAAAAACACCGCGTTGTTTACTTTTAGGGTTTAGGGTTTAGGGTTTAGGGTTTAGAGGTGTCGAAAAGGAAGAGGTATATGTAGGGTTTTTGAGGGTTTTGTATTAAAATTTTTCGTTGAGGGTATAATAAAAAGAAAAGAAGGTAAAAGTTTATAGTAACGAGAAAAATATAAAGGGCGTAAACACTTGGATAAAACAAATTCAGTTTTTTTTTTTTTGTTCTATACACAAGATTCATAAACAATAAACCCTAAACCCTAAACCCTAAACCCTAAACCCTAAACCCTAAACCCTAAACCCTAAACCCTAAACCCTAAACCCTAAACCCTAAACCCTAAACCCTAAACCCTAAACCCTAAACCCTAAACCCTTGAATGTGGATTAGTTTAAACCCGGATGATGAAGGCTGTAAAGTAATAACAATAATAAACCCTAGTTAAGAGCAAACCCTAGACAATCACGTAAACCCTAAACCCTAAACCCTAAACCCTAAAACCCTAAACCCTAAACCCTAAATTATTTTATGTATCAATGAATCTATCTGCGTTTGTTCTGCAGAGCTATTGTAAACCCTAAACCCTAAACCCTAAACCCTGGTAAGAAGCGGCCTATTCGGGTCTAGGGTTTACGCTGTAGTAGAAGACTCGGAGCCAAACCCTAAACCCTAAACCCTAAACCCTAAACCCTAAACCCTAGAAAAAAAAAATACCTGGGGTAATATAACTTTTGAAATATACCGCCGGTGGACGTCTTCGCTCTCCCTTTGCATTTCCCAGCTTATATATAGCCAGGGGTCTGCGCACCCAAACCCTAAACCCTAAACCCTAAACCCTAAACCCTAAACCCTAAACTGTAGACTGTAGTTTTTAAACATTAAACCCTAAACCCTAAACCCTTGTATGTAATTTCGACGGCAATAACAAAGAGGTTTTGCCTTGAGAAGCTGTGGTGGTTTCGTCTACTACTTTTTCTTTTGAGGGTTTAGGGTTTAGGGTTTAGGGTTTAGGGTTTAGGGTTTACCCCCGAAATTAGCATCATATTTCTCCGCAAGCTGCAGCAGCTTTTTATCTTCTTCTTCTGTCCATGGCATCCCTTCTCTCTTTAGTGGTGGCGCCTGCACCCAAACCCTAAACCCTAAACCCTAAACCCTAAACCCTTCTTCGTCTTATTTGCACTTTGTTTAACTTATATATATATACTTTAGGGTTTAGGGTTTAGGGTTTAGGGTTTAGGGTTTGTACCTGGAACCTCTCCATGTAATCTTTGTATGAATTTTCAGGCCAAAGGCCATGGTTAAATAACCTGCAAACAACGCACAAACCCTAAACCCTAAACCCTAAACC